ACAAATTAGATATATTTTTTAATCTATATATTTTCACTATTATTGACAAATTACTTCCTGTCACAATTATTGCTATAGAGGATGTTTATTTACAATATTTAACAATTTTGTTTAATGTGTTGAGCAGCACAATGACAATTAAAAAACAATAAAATCAACGGAACACCCTGTGAATTTTCAAAGCAGTTATAAGAGCTTATTAAAGGCAAAGTCAGTTTTAGTGTGAAACTGAATTTGCCTTTAATAAGAGTCACTGAAGTTCAATTTACATCGTTGCGAAATGGAATGAAGGTGACTTTTTGTAAACATAGCCAGCAGCACTGCAACTGCGCTTCTAAACATTGTATGAAAAGTAGCAGTGGCGCGCTTGCAGCGCCACAGTGGTGCCACTGCAGAGCTTCTATAAGTGACAATTTAAAGGTACCCATAGTGTTGAAGGTCAAGATCCAATTTAGGTTGACCACTCGATAGTAGAGAGTAATTAGCGACACAGGGTCAAGTTATCTTGGACCTTCTGTTATTCCCATAAATGCTCCCACGCTGAACACTGTTATATAAAGTGTTACTATAAAATGATAAAAGAATTTAACTCTATGAGGTAAGTTTCTCTATTGCCTGCTCAGAGCCTAGAACAGATTGAACAGACAAAATATTACATTCGGACAAGCGAAAAAATAAATCCATAACAATCTAATGACATTACGTAATAGGGTGATTTAGCATTCTTATGCAATTTCTGAACGTTATCTATTTTATACTACAATGTTTTATTACTGGCCACTTTTCTGAACACATTATTGACATAGATTTCGATTCTGTTACGTGCTTTGTGTTTATAAAAAAAAAACTTCTTTTTTTGAGATTCAAACTTAGATAAGGTCCACGTCGTTGAGGTCCAGTTTCCAGTTCTCTGTTGTAGACTTAAATAGTCGATACAACCTCAAGTGGATATTGGTTAATTCCACACAACAGTGAGTGTTGAATAAAGCACTTTGGAAAAAATATATAGCACAATTGAGGATATACACTGATAACTTATACGACAAAAACACGACTCCTAAAAACTTTCACGATAGAAAAGAAACACAAACTTCCCTCGAAATTTTACAAGAAAACCTCTGTATTCAATAGGTACTTTAGACGTACCAATGATTTTTTTAATATCAACTGATCTAAATAGAACACGTATAGTATACGATACACATTTTTTAAAATAATTTAGTTTGTAAAAAAGTAAATTCTGAAACACAGCTAGCGTCCCGGCCACTCGACCTAAGCAAACGAGAAAAACGAGAAAAATTTTAACTGAGATAGTATCGACTATTAATAACCATCCCGACAAAATAAAATTAGCCTACGAATTAAAAAAAATCGCTTTGATATCAGTCCATCCGTTTGGGAGCTACGAAGCCACATATAGACACACACAAACAAAGGCTTCAAACTTACAACTCCCCTCTTGTCTGTCAACCGTTTCGAGTTGATAGCGAGACTGGCTGGAATAAACCCGTTTATGGACTAAACAATTGAGATGATTTCAGTGGAGGCCACAGCCTACAATGACGGTAAACACTAGATCGAGATACTTCAGATGTGTTTTGGTTTTCATGAGATCCTTGTCACGTTGATGGCGACTTGCGCAAAAAATAGTCGAACGGGACCAATATAATAATTATTATACTTAAAGAATGTGACAAAAATATTATAATAAAAATTATTAATTACAAATAAAAGCCATTTTTGGGTATCTCGAATCGCGTATATTTAGTTTTTTCAAACCAACCAACATTTCGGGCCCTTTACGGGTCTCACGGTCTCGGCTGAATGACCATGGGACCTGTAAAAAGTTCGAAACCTTGATTTGTTCGAAAAAACAAATATACACATTTTAGATGCAGTAAAATAGTTTTGTTTACAACGCGCAACAATCAAGAAAACCTAATTATAATTAATTTTAAAAAATACACAACAGAATCGAAACCAGTGACTTGTCTATTTTTTCCTAAAAAACCCTGTCTTGATTTTACTTTTTTAATTATTGAAAGTTAAAGCTAGTTTCAAATTTCAGACTATTTTTAAAAAGCGCGATTTGTCTTAGGATACTAGACCATTTTCGTTTATAGCAGGCCAGAATTACCAGCTATTTACAGTTATTACATATCTTTTAATAGCATGATGTTTAATGACGACAACGATGATTTCTGTTGTAAAAGATGGCTGCCTAGGACTTAAAAAAATAAAATCGCCCGCGATTTTTATTTGAGTTTTGTTTCAAGAATGCATTTCGCATTCTTAATGATAAAGTGACGATGAAAAAAAAACGTGGAGTTGTAATCAATAATATGAAACAATTCTATTTAATATAAAAAAACTATAATATTTCCCATATCGAATTCTGAGGTTTTTCTCGCCACTTGAACATTGGAAATGAAACAATTTTTTAAAATTTAATCGTGCATGTTTTTATTTTTTTAAACAAACTGATTGTTTCGGACTCTTTACAAGTCCCAAGGTCACCTGGACTGTAAACGGAGCTCGAAACGTCGACTTTTTAAAAATAAAATACGTTTTAATTTCAAATGTGTAGCAATAGAAAAAACCTAAAAACTCGATATTATAGTTATTTCTATTCAGTTTAGATGGCTTCAGTGAGTAATCATTGTTGGCATGAAAGTGAATCTATTTAGACGCTGACAAAATCTAGCCCACAAAAACGAAAATAGTAGAACTTAAAAACTAGATCCAGGTAAAAATTGGATTAAAACAATGAACACATTTTTACGGCACGTCGCAAATGGCAGTGGGTTGAGCACCTTATTCAAGTGTTGTTTTTAGTTTTCTTGAAAATTAAGTTTATGTACTAGTGTTACTAAATTATGTAGTTAAAAGTTTAACCACAGATTTTAGTAACAATAACTAATCGATTGATTTATCCTAAAATATAAAAAATTTAAGCCTAATTTAAAATAGTAAATTTAACAACAAAACAAAAATAATCCTTGGTAAATAAATATATACAAATAAACGATTTTTCTAAATTTCATAAACAAAATACAGTTTTAACGTTTCTGATAATTAAAAATGTCAGATACAAAATTATGGCAGTCAAGTTTTTTAGATGTCATTATTTAGAAAATAAATCAAACCCGAAAAACTGTTTTTCTTTTATAAATAATCAATAATAATTATAATAAAAAGAAAAAGACACCTAATTCTAAATTCATAAAAATATAATTTTTTTCCTCCACCATTAAATGCAATTTTTTTTCTGATTTTATGTTATTAAAGCGGGAAGACAGTACCTGTATTTTGTATTTTAAAGAAAATTTGATTAAAAAAAAACAAACAGTAGAGGAGAAAAAACATGCATCATGCCTTAAATCTAAAGTGGCTCCTTCAAACATATAGTGCCACATACAGGGCGAAAATATATCTCACAAGACACTGTACTTTAAGATTTATTTTCATTTGCTCTTTGACACAATTGTTATTACGGAAAAGAGATAAAAATAGTAACGTAAATAGCAAAGGCAATGTATTCCATAGTCCTTTGTGGCTCAATCATAGACCAATTTGACGTCTTTATTATTAATTTGTATTGACTGTTTATTATACTGCGTATCAATTACATAATTTAAATTCTTGTTATAGGAAATGAAACTTGTGACGAACCTAATATTTAACCACCCTAATATTTAACACAACCGGTTGATGAGTTTACTATCTCCATCAGCCATGACCATAGGACCTGTGAAGAAGAATCCGATAAACCGGATTCATCTCCGAATTTGTCACCCTTAGAGGTGGAATATATTCTTCAAATTTGAATAGAACCACTACTGACACCACTACCCTTTCCAACAAAAAAGAATCATCGAAATCAGTTCACAAATGCCGGAATAATCGTGTAACATACGTAACAATACAATAGTCGAATTGAGAACCTCCTCCTTTTTTTAGTCGGTTAAAAAATTGTTTCATTTCCAATATATAGCGGAAACCTAATTAGAATTAGTTTAAAAAACATACGCAACAGAACCGTAACCAGCTTTTTTTTTTTAAAACCCTGTACTATTTTATTTTTTTAATTATCGAAAAGCTAGTTTTAAATTTCAGACTATTTTTAATAAACGCGATTTCACTGAGGTCGCCTTCAAATTAGACGCTCATAGAAACTCTGCAGTGACTGCTCGCAAAAGTGGCACCATGTCTCGATAGTGGCTGTACGCCTGCGCTTCTAAACATTGTATGAAAATCAGTAGTGGCGCGGCTATTGCGCCACTGCAGAGCTTCTATAAGCGTCTAATTTGAAGGCGCTCTTAGGAGATTGGACTGTTCTTGTTTATAGCAGAGTAAAATTTCCAACTATCCACTACTACTACACATATTTACTATGAATGTTTAATGTGTAACAATCGCGAAAACGTAAGAACTCGATTTGTTTATAATATCGCGAGCAAATAAATAAAACAGCCTAATTTATACTCTATATTAAGAGACTTTAAAAATATAAATATATTGCTATCAGTTTATTTGTTTGCGAATTTTTCAAAACCACTTAACCAGAATTAGTTATGTACAATTAAATTTAGTTAGACATTAAATTTGTGCTTTATATTGTTGTGACGTTGTTGAATATTTTAGATTTGTATTTACCGTTTTTGCTCGGGTGTTTATGTATTTATTAACTTACAGGGCGCCTTCAAGTTAGACGCTTATATAAGTCATACACTATCTGGAAACGCAGTCGCAATGCCACTGTCGTAACACGCGGCTGCCGCGCCACAGTTGCGCCACTGCAGTGCTTCTATAAGCATCTAATTTGAAGGCGCCCATAGTGTGATCTAACCATCACGGGCTATGGCTATTTTTATTGAATTGTATATGAAGTAAAGTTAATTTTTTATTTTTAAATTACTTTTATAAGTATTTTTTCTTCTCTCTAATGCAGCAAAGGAATGGATTTCACTATGTGTTTTCAACTTAAAAACTACCATTTGGGGTTCTTCAAATCCAAAGCAAAAAAGCATTGAAATAACATATGGATTTGCGACAACATTATAAAATATAGTATACAGTCAAATAGCCTATTCTGTCAAAGAGCAAATAAAAACCAGTATAAGGTGCTTTAACCCAAAATTTCACTCAACCTTTCCCTACGTTCAATATGTTCCACCTCCATACAGTGAGCCATCAATATTGACTCTCCAATTATCAAATTCACAAAACAGAGTGAGCAAGCATACATAGCATCACCAAAGCATACAACTTTATTATCATCCCGGTACAATTTCATTGGATTCAGAACGGTACTCGGTTGTATCTCTTTGCCGGATTGTACACATTTCTTTATATAAGCAGTCTTATACAAAAAGTGTAGTTTTTCACAGTGATATTGACTTAAAATGTGTTTTAACAGGTTGTTTTCATCATCTTCCGTAGCGTTACAGGAAGGACAGTGAAAAACAATTTTGTTTTTCGATTCATAATCAACAGACGATTCAGATTTTAACTGGATTGAATGGACTTGAACATAGAAGGTAATGCGTTCTATTGCAGCTTTTTGTAGCAATGTAGAGTAAAGACTTGTGTCCTGGAAGCTATTGTAACTAATAATCTGATCAAGAGATTCAGAGTATGCAGTTAAAGTAGAGGAGTCAAGGCTAAAATTGCCTATTGATGATGTAATTGACATAGAACGTTCTTCAGATTTGGTGACTCCGGAATCAGCCTGACTGGTGTCATGACAATTGCAAGTGCATTTTTCTTCCATTGTAATGTTAGGTAACGGATCTTGTTCAGTGTTTGGACAAAAAAGGTTGATCAATGCCTCTCGGTAGTCTGGGAAATCGTAGTGCTTTAACTTCTTCTTCGTTTTAGATACTGTTCTCTTAAGATCTTTGGAAACGCTTTGAGATTTCTTCCCCTGATTCTTGAGATTGGTGTTCACAAACTGTTCAATATTATTTTTCATTGTCAAAAGTTTATTTTTTAACTTGTTCCTGGTTACGGAGTCTTCCTTTTCAATTATCATGTCCCACTTGATCGAACTGGGTCCACAGTTATTCTTTTTATCAATGCATTTAAGTTCAATAATGTTATCTTGTTCAATTGACCAGGAGTTGAAGATTTTTGAAACTTCAATATGAAACTGAAACTCCGTTAATAACTTCTTCAGGAAGCAATCCAGTTTGTCAAACTTCATCTGATAGTTAGATAAAATAGTAATACGGTCCTCCTCACTTTTGCCCATTTCCACGTCGCCAAAAGATTCCGGTGTTGTTGATGGAATAACACGGCTATCATTAAGAATTTCATCAACTTTACGACACATCTTGATTTCGCCTGATATTTCTTGAGATGCTATTGATATGTCGTCATCAGTATCAGTCATCGACTGGATATCAATGTTATCTTCATATGGAGAAGACTGATCATCCGAATCAATGTTAAAGGACGAACTAAAGTCAAATAATCGTACTCGTTCCGTGAAGGCTTCTGCACTTTTGGACTCTAAAAATATGTGTTTAGGTGTGTTTTCAGGATTGTCGTTATTTGAGCCATCTGATTGGTGGTCTGTTTTGAAATTTTCATCAAACGATTGGTTAGCTTTTTGAACATCCAATTTTAATTTTTTCGAACGACGTTTTAATTTTTTCGCGCTCTTTGTTAAATCTGTGTCGGATAGAGAGCCTTTTTTGGAGGCAATGACTAATGGGGCATCATTTTCTACATTTACTTGTTTAGAGGTAGAGTCCGGTTCTGTGTGTTCAAATTCGACAATTTCGACATCTCCACTAGTAACATTAGCTGTATTGCGTCTAACATCGGAATTGGGGTCAACAAAACCATCATTTGTAGTAGAATCATCCTCGTCAGATTTCTTAAAATAATTTATATTCGACATAATTTTTCGAAATGAAAACGCCATTTTTAACACCGTATCAACTCAATAACGCTCTAACACACTTCAATTACTCTCGCACTGCTGTTTATTTCACGCTGGTGACAAATAAACAAAAGATGTTGTAATTACGAATTAACGACAAAGAAATTCATTGTATCTACAATTTTAGCTCTAAAACTCACCTTATAACGGCTAGAACCGATGAAAGAGACACTATTTGATACACTCACGGCATTTTTGCAAACATCTATTGCGGGTTTATTCAAAAACACCCTCAATTTGTGAATTATTTTGATAAAATTATCGCAACAAAGAAATCGTGATTGACAACAAACAAAATTCGTATAATTATAATGATGATAATTTAAACGGCTATAAGGCGTACGGGCTAAGTCATAGTATTGCTTGATTTTGAAATTAGTCGGGTTAAAACGTCAATACTGTGTTGCTGCTTTTTTCAGAATGTTTATTTTAAAAAAGCTACCTACACTATTGTCGATTGTTTCGTCGAAGCAATCGACGGAACATTCGTGTCGAGTGGTTGAAACGCGTTCACACATTTGTGCGATTGGCGATGCGATGCACGATACGCATGTGTAAACGGTCACTTCGCTATGCGCGTCGCGCCTCGCATCGCCACTAGAGGTGGGCTTTTAAACGAAAAGCACTTAAAAAAGTCTGCTTTTTAAAATAAGCATTTAAGCACGCTTTTCATTTTAAGCGTACGCGTTGTTTTTAAACTGTCCTGTGCCAAATTGGCTTCCCGCATAGGTTCAACTGAACACTCCAATTTGTACTCCCACGACCTTTGCCTACTCCCAGAATCCCTTCTTCGTGATTGGTCGAAGTACTGGGAGACATCCCAAAAAGAAAAGGGCCCCCAAATTCCTACAACACCATGGTTTTTCAAATTCCGTACAGCAGATAAAAAAACTACGTCAACAATATGCCGGCTTCGCTTAGATCACGCGTGTACTCCTATTCATTTGGCTAAACTTAGGATAAAAGATAACTCATTGTGTGAGTGCGGTCTAGACGAAGGAAACGTGGACCATATATTTTTTGACTGCCCTAAATTACGGTGTTCCCTATATGATATCCTCCCTCCCTCTATCCCTCGTCCTACTTCCTTTAAATGCCTTTTGGCCCTATCTTCTCACCCAAAAATGTATCATATTCTTTTTAAATTCATACATGTAAATCATATTAAACTGTAAATATTATTCATGCACTAACACTATATTTAACATATATACATGTTCTAACGACTTGTATTGTCTAATTTGTGCCGTTTCCTTTGTTCTAGAATTCAATTTGTGCAAAAGTCTCTTCGATTCTCCCTCTGAGTCACCAAACAAAATTCTAACACACCGTCCATAACGTTTATGAAGCTAGAAAACGGACACTGGCAGAATTGAGGCTTTGTAGTCTCACAAGCCATTCATTAAGAAAAAAAAAAAAGAAACGGAACGCGATTGTTAAATTGGTTTTGTTTGTTTTAATTAAAAATACGTGAAACCGTATCAAATATAACCTTAATATTTTACAGCTGTGAGTATACATCTTTTATTCGCATTAACTATGTAAATAGTTTGCAAAAATTTTATAATAAAAATAGGTTATGTGAAAGGCCCTAGGCCCTGCCTATCCAAGTCGAAGAATAACTTGATGTATGTAGTAGTTCTTGTATGCGCCCTGGAAGTAACATATTATGTACTTTACTCTGATTGGGAATAAAAGACTTCCCGGATCTAAGCCGCGTATATTTGTTTTTTAAACAAACCAACGTTTCGGGCCAGAAAGGTTTGCAGCTCCCATGGTCACGGTTGGCTCATTCAGCGTCTACGTGATTTAAATCCAGAAAAAATAGTTTTACTCTTATGTGTAACTATATTAGCTTGGCTCACCGCGCACAGTGTGTACGTCCTAGCCGGTTCCAGCTACAGTTTGCTTTTTCATGTGCCCTTAGATGGCTACAGTAGCCAATCTTATTGGTAAATGTTCGCAAACAGTGGCGACACGTAAGGACATTGTCAACATGTAATAAAAGATGGCTGCAGGTGTCTTAGTCTTGAGAGCATCACTTTTCGCATCCAGGTCTGACAGTTTCTGCTCCTTAAATTTTGTCACCTGAGTTCTCCATCCAGAACGGCAACTCGACTGCATCTCCCACCTTGAAGGGTCAAAGTTGCAACTTTTCATGCGTTTTCAGAACATCCTTGTATCTCAAGTGTTTTTTTTACCACACACAGTACCTATTTACTCACAACATATTATATACCAATTTTTATATTAATGCACTATAATTGTTAAAACAATGATCGAACACTTACAAAAATATTCCTTTGATCTGGCTGGATTTGAACAGATGCCTACTATACTAACCCATCCAGGCGCTATACTAAGTAAGCCACAGAACGAATCAGCAGACCTCACGAATCTCTTACTCTGTGCTTGTTATTGAATCTTTGTATTTGGTTTTCAACAACTTTTTAGTGTTAATTTATAAATTAGTTTGTAACACACAATGCCATCTATTGACACGCATATTTGTTAAAGTACAGAAAATCATTTTAGTTCAAGCTCAATTTTGAATAATATTACAAAGAATGAAAACTGACTTGCTTATATTTCATATTAAAGAAATAATAACACACACTCAACACAGCCCCGCACTAGGGAAACCCTGTGTCGCGGGTATCATGGACACACATATAGACAACCACAAATTACACCCAAACTCACAAGAGAAATGAATGTAGGCCATGCATGTATGTCTCCCGGTCTGGGAATCGAACCTGGAAGTTCTTCGTGGAGTTCGGCTTGGTAACTGTTCGGCCATATAGGCAGTTGTAGACACATACACAGAACAATAAATACAGTAGAAGTGGTTAGTTTGTCTGACGCATGCCAACTATAGGTCTCAAAAGACCTATCTGTCTGTCTGCCATTTTCGCTTTGTATGGTATGGTTGTATCATTCTTTCGTGCAAATTCTCTAAAATCCTAGAAAAATGCCTTATTATTCTGTTTTAGAGAG